GGAAATCCATATTGCAAAGACTCTTTTAAGAAGGTAATATTTATGATTTATTAATAAATTAATAGGCTATATATAAGATACAATTCCATCTTGTTATAGTTAATGATAAAGAATAAGACATATCGTTTTTTGAAATTTATACAATTTGTAAACTGCATTCAAAGTACTTTTGATTTTACAAATATGAATTTTTAAGGTGGTTACCTATTCTATGTAAGGCTTAATATTGTGTTACAAAAGACTATCTAGTATGAGAAATTAAAAAATTCTTAGTCCATTATTATAATATAATCATTGTTACAATGCTTGTAGGTATTACCTTTATCCCTTCTATTCACTGGGATGATTGCAACTAACAATTTATGTTTGAAATATGTTGGTGTTGCATTTTATTATATAGGACGTTCATTAACAACTGTATTTAATGTCATTTTCACCTACTTTATACTTGGTAAGAACCTCTATAAAACATCACAGAAATGACCAGTATAATAGACTATTTTAATTTTACAGGTGAAAAAACTCCTAGAAATTGCATAGTATGTTGTGGATTTATTGTTCTTGGTTTCTGGCTGGGTGTAGACCAAGAGAATATTGCAGGTTCTTTATCTATTTTAGGAACAATCTTTGGTGTGCTTGGATCATTAACACTTTCTTTATACTCTATTCATATGAAACAAGTGCTTCCTAAATTAAACCAAGAAATTTGGTTACTTTCTTATTATAATAACGCGTACAGCATTATTATATTCCTTCCATTAATGGTAGCTAATGGAGAACACATTGCAGTGTATAATTATGATAAACTTGGATCTCTAACTTTTTGGTCTGCTATGATTGTTGGTGGCATTTGTGGTTTTGCTAATGGTTATGTTTCTGCACTTCAAATAAAAGTGACATCTCCTTTAACACACAACATTAGCGGAACTGCTAAAGCTTGTACACAAACAGTATTGGCAACTTATTGGTTCAATGAAGCAAAGTCATTCATGTGGTGGATAAGTAATATGATTTTGCTTGGTGCTAGTGCAATGTATGCTAGATTAAGACAACTTGATTTAAGTAAAGAGTATAAAGAGCAAAAAGGGCAGTTATTAGTTAATAAGATATGATTGAAGTAATGTCAAAATAAGTTGGATAATTCATTACATATGCCAAATCAAAAGTACGTATTTTGCGTATATATGTACATATCTATAATAACCTTGATAGCATTTATAATATTTTACTTTTTATTGTTTAAAAATTAATGTGAAAATAAGTCTTAATTCAGAATAAAATGTTTTTATAAAATAAAATGTTAAAAAAATATACATTTTTAATATCTTGATGAAAGACCACCTCCCCTACTATCCGAATGACTGGACATTGAATCTTTTCGCTTTATGATCGCATTCACACTTTTCAACATTAAATCTGTATCCACATGGAGTGCTGGTACCATTAAGTTCAATCGATTTCGTAGTAGAGTATTCACAGTATGTTTCTGGTCACTTTCTACAGCAAGTCCATCCGATAAGAAATAATACCTTAAAATAATAAAAAGTTGAATTCAAGGGATCATGTTTTTATTTGCACAGATCCTGTATCGTATCCTGTATAGGTTTTGTACCTTGGATATTCTATAGCTTCAGAAACATTTAACTCGCGTACGATAATACTGTATATTAATTGTCCTATGATTAATGGATCATCAGTTCCAAACACTCCTCTTAATCCACACACTGATTTGTTGTTATGAAAAATAAGTGGAGTAAGCATAGATAAACTATTATTTGTGTCACTCTTGTCTAGTAAGAAACCAGCATTAGACATGTATCCAAAACCAAATGGCGAACTAAGTCCACTGTAATAAATTTAAAAAAGTAATCTATTCGACAAATTGTATAATATGTTACCAATACTAACGTTATAATACAAACGTAAATATCTTCCCAGTCCATTGCCATAACTCCAGTGTATTTTTCCTCTTCAGCTATAATAATTACTTTGTAAAACAATTGTTTTGTTTTAATCTTTTTACGTAATTATCTCCTGAACCATACGTAATGCAAAATTATATATCAACCAGAACTTATTTGAGTTTTTAATTTGAACTATATTTTCCTACACTTTTTGTTCAATTGTGAAACATTTTCTAATGCAGTTAAGAAGAATGAAGCTTTTTCAAACAGCAAAATTAATGTACAAGACAAACCATTTTGTCTTAGTTGCAGTGGAATTGAAGCTGAATGTATCAATGCTTCAGCTAGCTGGATTTGAGCTTCTATTGTAGATGCATTTTCCACAAATATCTTTAGATTTTCCAATGAAGTTATCATTGATTCTAACAACATCATGTGTGGAGGATAATATACAGCATATTTATGAAAACTTGATTTCCTTGCTGGGTATAAAAGAGGTTTGTAATTTGCCAATTGTTGAAGCAAATCAGAAAGATCTTCTTTTTCATGGAACAATTTTTGGGAGAAAGATCCATTGTATAACACTATGAGAGAAATAAAACATTTTCATTAACATAACTTATTAAAAATATACAAATGTAGTGCATACAAACCTTTAGAACTATGTCGTGCTACAGCACTCAATGTATTACTAAGATCTTGTAATTTTAGTGTATCACCAGCACTAAGGTGTCCAAACAAAGTTTCATAGCCAATGTGTTTTGATATTTCACTCGCTAATTCCTTGGATACAACAAATCCCTCTTTAGCTAGAGTTATAGAAGGTTTGATAATCTCACTCCATGGTAATTTACCTTTTAAACTATGGGCATACTCTAATCCTTTCAAAACAGCTGGAACACGTATTCCATTTTGTTCAAAAGCACCTAATTTATAAATCATAGAAATGATATATTAGTGAAATTATTTTAAATATTTATATCTCAAAAGGTAGATAAACATCAACTAATACATACATACCTTCAATAGTATTAGTGGCAAAATCAATAATAAATGGTTTTGTTTGCTCTTTATGATTGTATATCATAACATAGCCACCCCTAAAATCGTAGTGATAGAATACAACAACTATTATTGAAATATTAGATATAACTTACCCACCAAGACCAGTCTTATGTGGAGCAACAATTGTCATACATATAGTTGCTGCTACAGCTGCATCCATTGCATTACCACCTTTTCGTAATATTTTAGTTCCAATTTGGGAACAGTTTGTATAATCAGTTGCAACAGCACCATGAATAACAGCTTTATCCTAGTACAAGAGAGTATGATAAATGATATTCAAAACTGAGATTTTGTTTCAAAAATATTTTACATACCTGAGGAGTTTCTTCAGCATAAAGTATTTGCAGAATTAATGTCGTTGTAATGGAAATGGTCAATATAGTAAAACAACTTATAATGAATTTTAAACCATCCCCACAATACATACTTAACTTATGTTTATAACTTCTACTCTTTGTCAAAGGACATTCTTCTGTAGGACCTTTTAAAATTAAAATTAATATAATGCAACAGGTTGTTCTTATTTTGTTCAATTCAAAAAGTAATAAAAATTCAGAATGACTTCCTTAATATACCCTT